ATTTGCTTGGGGATTGAAGAGGGAAATGAAGGAGACATTTTGGGTATTGTCGTAAGGTGCAGCGTTTGCTCCATATGCCGGTGGCACATCCCCGTTGAAGTTTGTGAGGGCTTCCTTCCAGTAGTCCACGGCAGCCTGGCAATCAGCCTGTTCGCCTTCTTGAACTGCGTACGCGACGGTGCCCTCGATTGCGGCCAAGTCGTCAGGCGTTGTGTTCTGTTCATAATGCACAGACTCCAGTAGAGGAAGGAGACATAAAGGGTGCATTATTTTGGCTCCTTGTATGTGGCGTGTGCGTGTGTGTGTCTAGGTGTGCACATCAGGCTCGTACCGCCTGCGCTGTCCAATCCGACAATACAAGAGAAAGATAGTGTCAGAACCAAGCCTCACAGTTTTAATGCCTTTGCAGACTGTGCTCAGGTAATCCTCGAGCGTGGAGACGGAACGGGGCCAGTCATCTTGAGTAATTTTGAATCTCTTTTCGTGCGTGAGTTCAGCGAAGCCGACACGGTTGCGGGCCGCGTTCATTTGCTCCCAGCACTCTGCTCTCACTGCAGCAAATCATCAGCAAGAAGATTTTTCAAGCCTGCTCGACTATTTTGTTAAGAGCAAAATTATGTGAATTTACTGGGGGCATACCGGCCTTATTAGTGGCAGTATCAGTTTCAACATCGCCAGGTCCTGAACCAGGTTCATTTTCGTTATCATTAGAATCTCCCTGATGTTCAGGAGTCTCGATAGTTCCCCCAGGACTCATATCGGCACCATATGCCGAGTTGATATGTGAGAAGAAAATGGCGGCGGCCGCCACCGACAGGAACTTCAGGACAGGCATTCTCAAAACCAGAATTAAAACTGTCAAGCTAACGGGATGTGAATAAATATAAAATTATTGTGATCAATTTCAGTATTGGCTGCAATTTCTAGCGACAAACGATCCATATGCTGAGGGAGACTCAGCGAGAGCTGGGACGCCTGCCACAGTCCCTCCCGTCAGGGGGCTGCTGGTCCGGTCCATACTCTGGTCCACGGTGGTTCTCCGGGTAATTACGAAATTTCAAATGATCCCAAACTTTTTATCGAAAGCAGTGTAAGAATAGTGTTTTGCGCGTTCCTACTGGCGCGTACGTCGCAACGTATATCATGCTGTGAGAACGCCCTTCCCCACTGAACCACAAGTGAGCCGAATTGCAAGTTGGCGTGACCTGTCGAATGCTTCTTACATACTTACATATATTAAGCATATGTTATGGCATATAAGCTTGTGTTAATGTCTAGCCCTGGACTGCGCGTTGCCTCGGTGGGAGATCTCAGTGCAGGGTTGGGATTTGCCCTGCATCCGTTGAGTTTATGTTCATCTCAGGCGTTGCATTCGCAGCCTCCGGATCTCCTGCCCCAGCTATTCTGGGTGACATAGTTCAGCAGTAATGCATCTGAGGATATACGACAGTTTCCCACAAACCGCGGCTCTACGCACACGGCTTCCCCTATCCCGTTGACCCCGTACGCCTCAGACGTCGAGACATGCTACCCGCATTGAGAACCTCCACCGCAAAGTATTTAGCACATGGTTAACTCCTCTCAGAAGCATTCATAACAATCTGGCCTTCTTATGTAATGGCTGTCTCTGAGTCCCGCGGCATTCAATGAAGTGGCATCGAAACCTCGACGGCCGTGGTCCACCATCGGGCACATTTTCCTCGAGTAGTCGTTGACTGACCACCTGGCAATAGTAGTAGGTATCTCCCAACGTGGGCAGTAGGGGCTTGCTCTGGGACCAAGCTCTTTGCGGGAGTTCATCATGACAACTACAAATAAGCCCAACAGTGTCGCCCCCGGCGCTTGAGGTATCCGTCTCCGGCTACTTGTCCGTAACTTCATCACAGCTGAGCGTGCGCATTTTGCTTTTAAGCACTAGCTTGCTATTTATAAGCTCGTTTACAGAGAATCGTAATGAGTTATGGCAACCCCAGCTTCGTCTACTACGCGACGCACGTCTCATCACTGCCTTGCTCCGTTTCTTGCATTGCCTCGCGCACAAATATGCATCTTCGAGCATAGGAAAGAACCAGCATCGGCTGATCTAAAACTGCTCGGCTTGCTGGTTCAAACGCTCCCACCTTTCCACCGAAGTAACCGACGCTGTGGGCCACT